TAGAAGTATTCTGTCACGACTAGTGATATTAATTACAGAATAATAAATAAACACGATTACAAATTATTCACTGTTTTAAAACTTCCGGTTATTAATATTAAAAAATCTTTTTATGAACCTCTTATGTAAGTTTTGAATTATGGCGTGCCAAGATATATATTTTGTACCAGAGTCAACCCTAAAATTCTCTACGGCACTTATGGAAATGAAGGAAARAACCCATTTAATGGCCCAGCTGCGCTGGTGTTATCGTTTATTTTACCTATTTATYAATTTAATGATATTTAATAAAATTCTAAAAACATCATTAATTTGTCAATGTTATTACCTTTGTAAATTATAGTTAACAAGTTTCAAACGAAGACGTTATTATAAGTGACTATAAATTTTAAACCACAAAGTTATTATGTAAAAATGAAATAATGGAGAAAACTATGCATTTAATTATCTAATTAACGTCTACATTTTGAAAATATATCGACTGTAAAAATACAAGTTACGTTGTATTTGGTAATTACACCATAATTCATAACAAATATTTGCTGTTTCTACAGAAAAACATAAAGATAGAATTATTAGAAGAATCAAACTCGCATTTCAGTAGAAATTTACAAACAGCTAACAAATTTTTTAAAACTCAAAGTTGTAATTTCTATTTCAACATAAAATTTTAACACTCAGATTGAAACACGTTCTTTAAATTTGAAACATATTTGTAAATATCAAATTTCAAATTTTGAAATCAAACGAGTTTTTCAACTGAAAAAAATAATTGAACTATGCAACATTCAACTTCAAAATTTCTAAATTATGAATTATGAATCTCAGAATTCTGACTATCAAACCTAGAAATACGTCTCCATACAAATAAAAAATCTGGTGTGAACATCACACGACTTTCCTTATCCTACTTATTTGGAAAACATCTTTACGACAATAATTTAGTGTTTTTTGCGTTAGTGCCAACTGCCAGATTACACGCGAAATAGATCGTAGTTGTCGCGGGTTCGAGTCTGGGGTGCAATTTTTTTTTAGTTCGCTACCCATTATTATTTTTATTTTATCACATTTTACTGTTTAATAAGGTATATTTCATGATTCTAAATAATTTATATTTCAATAAATTTATTGTATTACAACCGTATAATTTTACGGCCGATTTGTTGTCTTTGCGGCCGAACGGTGTGACCGATTTTTACCAATTGTTTCGTGCTACGTCCCCTTGCTACAAATAACTTACATACCAAATTTCAAGTTTCTAACTCTTATCGTTCTCTAGATATGCTGTTTACAGACACACATACAACTGTGAATGTATTATTACTTGGTTTATTAAGAGTAATATCTTTTAATGTAACACAATAATAATTTTTTAGTGTTTTACAGTTTTTGTTGGTCCTAACATAACAGATCATAATCTCTTCATTTTATTTTTTCATTGATGACATATATAGATACTGTTAAAATCTGATACTTCAATTACTGCTAATCGTGATAAAATTTGAAAGAATTGAAAGAAAGATGTTAGTTAAAAAGATATATTTGATTTTGCAGAAGAACAACAAAAAAAATAATAGAAATGAAAGCAAAAGAAGAACTCTTAAAATAAAACTCTACTTTGTATGAGTAGGTATAACTGACAAAATCACTAATATAGTTTTTATGGTTTAAGGAAATGCTCCCCTTAATTCTCCAGAAACGCGTTTTACATTTYCTTTCAAGCTGAAATTAGCACCTGTAAAGATTTCGCAATTTTTCTGAAGCAAGTAAAGCGCGCTCGTTGATGTTTTAATAGAGGCATTTGTTTGAATAGTAGCGTTAAAATAATGTGTTTTCACAAAACCACTTACGTTTGATGTTCTTTAGCGAACGCTTTTCAGCGATGATTGAAGTATGTGAAACGATTTAACGAAGTGGCGTTGACAAGGCCCGCTAAGTGAATGCTAATCGACACCCTCTTAAAACTTCTTTACATTCTTCACGCACCGGCCGCGAGGGGAAGGAAGCTCGTGGCACTTCGCCAATGAAAAAATGACGAAATTGTGTGCTTTACGCGGCTATTTACCTTTATTATAATGAAACCAAGTCGTGATTAGATTGTTTTTGTGGCGTGTGATAGTGCATCGATCTGCATTGCGGTCTGTTTAGAACCGTCTAATTTATTAGCATAAGTTGAATACGCGCCGCCACGACTTGTATCGATCCATCAACCCCTTTGGAACAACACCCGAAGAGCAAATCCGCTCGACATTGCTGATTATCAGCATTGTAAGTGCTGCAATGACACCTGGGAAAAATAAGAAACAATCGCAAATTCCTACGACTCCGAAGGGAACAAGAGGCCTTAAATGGCGCCAGTCTACATACGAATACCATATATCAACCATTGCTCTTGACAGCTGCGTAATAGAGAAACAATCAAAACAGGAAATTTTCAAACACGCGGAAATAATCACCCACAATTCAAGATGCTTTCACTCCAAACAATGAGGATACTTTACAGGAATTTAATTAACGATTTAGGGGATAGCGATTAACAATATGATGGATTTTGAAGAATGTGGACAATTCGAAAATTAATTTACTTAGAAGCGTGTACTACGATAGTTTTATTAACCAATTTTTCTAGCATATTATTACCCTCTACAAAGGCGAGGGGAAATAATCACAACAGAATTACAGATTAGAGCCACAATTCTTAAACTTATGTGTTTCTCTATCAAGATTTCTGCTGACTTCTTTTATAATCGCCAAACACGTCACCTAACTGATTTAATAAAGCTCAGAGTTCTAAAAAAACAGTAAATTATTTTTTACAGCATAACACGACTAAAGATAATTACAGTGAGCGGCAAAATTATGGAATAACCTTATTTATTAAAACTGAAAATACAGTAGAACCCATCTCTATAACAAGAAATCAAACCTAATTAAATATTAAAGAAGTTTAAAAAAATATTTAAGAAAAAAATCTGTAATTTTTGTTTGTTTTTTATAATGAAGCATTCTTATTTTATCAATTGGACTCTCCAAGGCTATTGTAAAAGACATCGTGGTTAGGTGGAAGCACCCAATAACAAAAAAATTCATCTCTAGAGAATCCCCAATTTTTTCTGCAAATTCTTCTGCTTTTTCTTTTAACTTGGCCCTTTTATGAGCACATTGGATTCGCGATTCACTTTGAACCATTTAAGAACGGCTTTATCTAATTTAGCATTTTTAGCAGTATGTACTTCTTCACTTTTGACGAAAATTCACCAGTTGAACTCGTAATCTTTTAAAATTGTTGCTAATGTAGAATTGGCTAAATTTTTCTCTTTGCAGATTACAGCTTGTTTTTTACCACTTTCAAACTCTGTTATTGTTGATATTTTTTCATTGATAGAAAACGTTTTTCTTTTCGAGGACGACATATTGATACAGAAAGACAAAGTGTTCTCTGCTTGAAAAGTTATTCAAGACTGAGAAAGTGAGAAAAATAAGACCATTAGCGCGCAAAAACAACATTTCCAAAAAAATTCTGGTACACAATACGTAATGGAGACTCGCAGGATTTTTATTTCTTATAGGAACTCTCGTTATAACCGATCTGTTTCCGAAATTTCTCAGAATTTCTCGCTATTACCGATCTTGGACAAAATAAAAGTTTTGTTATATCCACCACAATTCCAGAAAAATACTCGCTATAGAGAGAGAATTTTGTATAGAGAAAAGCAAGGGACCAGGCGATTTTTCGTTATAACTGGGACTCGTTATAGAAGAGTTCCAATGTATTTTGTTTCGACAAAAATGCTCGAAACGTCAATTTTCTTGATAAAAAATACAAAATTCTCAAGTTGATTTAAAATTGTATGTTTGTTTTTTCTTGATATTATTTCACTTTTTGGATGTTTTTTTCGAAAACTATCTAATAATTAATATTTTAGTGTTGCCATTTCGACAATTAAAAAATCTATCGAATTCCATTTTTTTGTTTTGAGAATATATTAATTTTTCAAAATTATGACACCACAACACTAATTTTACATAAATACTATTTATATATTTTTTCTCATCTTTAGTTCTTGAAAGAAATGTTATTATTTGTCACACAAAATAAAATAATTCTTATATTTATTTTRCTTTTYTGAGTTGTTTATAATAAGAACAAAAAATATTACGACAAATCCGCTTTATCCAAATTTTTACTTAACCTAGGTTTACATTAGGATCTGGAAACCTAGTTGAGTACATAAATGAAACAAACTGTGTTTCATTTGCTATTCAGTGTTCAGTTTCAGTATTATTTTATTATTCCAGATTCAAAATTCGATCAATTCAAATAATGCAAGAACACATCTACCTTGAAGATTCTTCATATTATTGTTTGAAGAAAGTTTGTTTCAATTATATGGATATAGAATTTTAGAGAATTACAGTAAAACTAACTTTAAACTAATTCAAAGTTAACAGAACAATTCGCATGTGTTAAATGTATAAAATTAAGTTAATTTAAAACTCTAAAGTACAGTCCCCAATAAAATGTAATATGTACTAGTTTTATCAGTACATGACTATTCTACCATTTTTGCTTTTTTTGAATTGAAATTTAACCAGTCAGAAATAAAAATTTAGTAGGTACATTTATTTAGATATTATGTCATATTATTTGTTTTATTTCGAATTGAGTAAAGTATCGACAGTGAAATAATAAAATGTAAAACCTTTTCTAGTTTCGAAAGCAGAACTGAAATAAACAGAGTTCTTCCTGTAGGGCGGCCGACGCTAATCAATTCGTTGGCATTGCCATATCTAAGGCGTTTTAGATTAGTTCCCAACAAACCATCAAGTAATAGACTATAAACTAAGCGTTTTATTTAATAACCGCGGAGTGAATAAAATTACAACGTGAGAATCTCTTTCGTGAACAACATGCAAATARTTAAGATTCCCCACSCGCAATAATCCGACCACAATTTTCGTCGCGGACAATTCCCCAAGAAAGTGTCATGTACATTTACCTCGTATAGTCCTGTTTGCAGAGGATCATTCCACCTTTTGTGAAGCACGATGTCCCGATGTCTGCTAACATAGCCGCGCAACACGAACACTTCAAACAGCTATTGTGCCAATAGCGATCTAACGCATGCAGAAGAAAACGTTCCACTATTTTACCACCGCACCCTGCACATACTTTCACCGTGCTGTTATTATTGTTATTGTTGATGCTCGGATTATGATGCTGGTGATGGGGACCTTCCGACTGAGGGCCTCCAAAAGCGGGGTGGGAGTGGTGATTGTGAGGATGGCCGTCGTGGGGACCGCTCGGGTGGCCTGGACAATTAACATCAACAAAAATTATATTATAGAAAACTAGAAACTAGTAATCAAATCAAAATATAGGAAGTCGCGGAATCGTCGCTCACCCCCGCTCATACTACCTGATTTCGCCCCCGAGTAGAACGCACACTATCAGATTTTGTCAAAATTTAAATAGGGGCTCGCGGCTTTGCCGCTCGCCCGCTTCTAAACCTCACACTAAATAATTTTATCAAAATTTAATGGGGTACTGGCGGCTTTGCCGCTCTTCCCCTTAAACTTCACACTATAATAAGATGTATTTTTTGTTTTCATAAAACGTATATTTTTATCACTTATTTGACAAAACTGTAGTTGCTAAGTTGCGTTTTTTGGATACACGAGAACAATTGAAGGGGTGAGTGGATAAAGGTGTCATGTGCATAACCTATATTTGAAGTTATAAGCATTTTAATATAATTTGCTGGTA